TTTTTTTTTTTTTTTTTTTTTTTTTTTTAATGTCTTTTTATTCTTACTACTGTTACAATTATTATTTGTAGTCTGCTCCAAAGCGAGAGGCAAAGGAGAGTGAGTTGCTCCAGAGGGGTATTTCATTTTGGTTTTCTTCAGCGTGGGAACAGGGATATAAACAACAATAAAAAAGCCCATCTCAAGCGGGGCGGGGGGGTGGTGGTGGTGGTGTACAAAATCACGATGTGTGCGTGTGTTGGAGAGGGTGAGCCAGGAGGCACGGGTGGCAGTTTAATTCCAGAGGGGAGAAGTCTCCGAGCAGGCATATTCCAAGCACTACTTTAATGTGCCCAAAGTCCATCCCGGGAACTTTTTAGGTTTTCTTTAAAGGCAGTGGAGACATACTCCCCATGCGACGCTTCACTCGCTCCGTCTCTGCCTGCTCCTTTCCCTGCTTAGCTTAGGTTCTCCGGAGGTGCATTTCAGATTAGATGATGCTACATTTTGGGGGTGGGGGAGGGTATGTGTAGTGGGGAAGAGATGCTCGGATCCTCGGGTAGGAAAGTAGGACTCACAGAGAGGAAGTTGAAGATAATTTGCATGGTAGCCCGCTTAGGATTAGGAGACATCCAGGAGCTAAGCAAGCCACTTTATTAACTCAGGTTCTGTAAATGTGTGTGTGTGTGTGTGTGTGTGTGTGTGTGCGTGTGTGTGTGAGTGTGTTTATTTCATTAGATATGTAGTTATTTAAAAAAAAATAAAAAGGAAAAGGAAAAGAAAAAGATCAGATCAGAGTGATTGGGGTGTGACTCCAGATTTAGTGCAGGAGGAGGAATGGTTTTGCAGGGGGCCACGGGGGGAGTGGAAGTTGCATCTGTTACGGAAGAGGTTCACTGTCAGTGTCTACTCCAGCTGGTGGACTCCTGTCAGGGAAAGTCACTGGAAACGGCATTACTGGCTTCCCAGCTTTCCAGATGCCTTGGCGAGTTGTAAATCTTGAACTTAACGGCATGTTTAGCAGGCATCTCTTCCCCCTTCCCACTCACTCTCCTCTCTTCCAACCTCAGGAAATGCGAATGAAAATATAACCTGATGGTGCAAAGTATCAGTTTCTCACAGGCTAGAGAAAATGTTCAGGGCTCAGGGGCTGGGGACTTAGTCCAAGTTCTAGGATATTTCTTCCTTCCTTTCTTGCCGGTCGCTCCAAACACCCTTCTCATATTTGCAGTGATCAGTGTAGCCCTTTCGAACCTTGCTTTCTCTTCAGACAAGCTCTTAGAAGCCACATCAAGGTCTGATGGGCATCATTTAAACATGACATCTGTACTATAATAATTATTAACAATAACAGTAAAAATACTAGTAAGAAGCACAGGGAAGGAAAGGTCCTGGGAGGTTTCGTCTAATAGATGAGGCTTAGTGAGAGTAGCCACTGAGCTCATGTGTGCGCACATGTGTTTTCAAAAATTATCTAAGGTTTCGGTAAAATAAAAATAACATCAGTAAAAGCTACACTGAAGAGAACCACTCAACATAGTGTAGAGGAAATCTCTGAGCTAACACCTCGATAAAGCATTTTTGTGGTGGGGGGAGGTTATTCTGATTTGTTGATGAGATTTTATTCTTTTGTTATGTTCTATCTTAAACCTATAATTAATCAATCTATGCGCTAACTTTAATGTCTATTTCATAGATGTGAATTCATCCTCTTTCAGTTCAGTTTTTCTTTTACTGTATGCCTGTATTCACAGAGACAAACTCAGGAAGGGGGGGGAGAGAGGGAGCGAGAGATAGAGGGATCATTTATCTTGCTTTGATGTGTTTAACATATATTCCTGAATTAAGCAAGATACTAACTTCATCTCCCTTCATTTCATTTCTGTTCTAAAGCTGCAACCTAGGAAAAAAGCCAGGTGGGAAATCTTGTCACCTCATCAAACCAAATTGCATGAGTTCATCTTGAAAGAAACAGTCATTTTTAACCTCCTAGAAGTTTTGGACTTTGGAAGGAAAAATGATGATGATGATTGTTATTTCACAGGCTAGGGCTTGAGTGAAGCTTCAATAGACACCGAGTTGCCAGCGTTTCAGAGATCGGTTTTATTTAGTACATCCGAGAAGAGTTTGAACTCCTTTCTAGCGATGCCGCTGATTTATTAGCTAATCCTGATAAAAATGTGCCCCTGGCTACCTGGAAAAAAATTACTTTCTTGCCAGTAGTGATTAATTACTATTAAGTCAAAAAGCACGATGGGGCTTTGAAGGATGAGGATTGTGTTTGGCTTTTTTCATTATTTTATTTCATTTTATTTCATTTTTAATCTATTTTTTTTCTTTTTCCTTCTCTAAATGCAGTCATGTGAAGCATAGTATTCACTCAGTTCTCCTTATTTTGGCTTTGCTTTGCAGGCATAGGTGAAGAATTGCATAAAGATAGTCCAACTTGGCTCTCAGGGGTAGGATGGCAATATGAAACCTCAAGATGCTTTCCATAAGTGATGCATAATGTTTATACATTAATTGATCCATCACTCTCAGTTGATTTCATTCCTAATCCAGCGGATGGGGCTGTGGCAGTTGTATACCCTGAAGGGTTAATAGTGGGCTGTAGTTTATTTAAGTGTACGGAGAGAAAACCTTGGGTGTGGAGCGGGAGAAGGTGGGTTTGTGTTGGGAGGAGGGAAGAGATAGGAATTAGCTTAAAGTGAAAATGTAGCAACCATAGTAATTTCATGTGTAAATCCATTGAAATGAGAGCACAGGATATTTATTCTTTAAAATATTAGGAAGAGATCCTATTGTGGTGCTCCTGTACAGCAGGAGGAAATTGAAAAATAAGAACCTGAAGATAAAGTACATTACTATGCCCCCCTTCCCAGAAAAACTATCACATAAGGACACTGAAGTCCCAGGTTCTCTCAACAGCAGCCCCGGCTGATACCAGGCCAGATACCAGGGAAGAGGCAGGGGAGCACGATTCTCTTGCAGACACACGAAGAGAGAAAAGGGTACGGGGGAAGCAGCATGCGCGGGAAGGCGGGAAAGGCTTGCCAGATCCCCAAGAAAACAAGCCTTCATGGCACGAGCGTAACTGATGCATATCTCCCCCATCCTTGCTTCTCTCCACACGGGGCAGGACCAGGCTCCTGCTGTGGTACTTTGCTCTAGGGTTGGGAAGAGGCTGTGTGCTGAGATCCCCTGGTAGAAATCTACCGGGGCTGAGCTGACCCACCCACGCGCTCACACATACACGCACACACACAGACTCACAGAGTTAACTAATCACACTTGAACAATTTAGCAAGCCATTCATTCATAACTTCCCCTCTTCTTATCTAGCAGTGGAGTATGCTTAAAGGCTGAGTTACTGGGAGACATAAAGGTTAGTGCTCTCAGGACAGCCATATTATAATGCATTATCTTTGAAGTCATTTAAGGCCAATTTAAGTGGTATTTAGTGTAATATTTATGAATTAATGTAATCTAAATATAGGACTGTCCCCATAGGTTTAAACAGCCTTTTCTATCAAAGTTTGCTTGTACCCAACGCCCAGAATGTGTTTTAATTTAAAACACACAGGTCTCCATAATATTCTATTTAGGAAGTCAGAGGAAATCAGCATTCCACACTTAACTGAGATTTACTGAAACACATGCGGGTGAGTGCACTTAAAGAGTATAGATAGTGTGCAGTCAGAAAGCAAGAGTCTTCAGTAGACCTGAGAGCTACAACATTCTGTCAACTTTTATTTAGGGGCAGAAAAAAGCACAAAATCCCTCAAACCTCCTTGAAATCCACCATTGCAGTCCCGTGGTTAGGACGGTGTTCCTACCTGACACGAACCTTACTCGATAACCATTCAATGCAGCTAGAAAAATGCAGTATGAAAAGAATAGTTTAGTTCTTTTGCTGCTTTACCTTCTCAAAAGTATAAATAATTTTGAAATTTAAGGCACCTTGGGGGTAGGTAAACAAGACTTCCATTCATTATATTCTGTTCTGTTTGATTACAAAGACAGATGATAGAAAAATTAAAACCTGTTAAGTCTAAAGATGCTTGTGAAGGTTTTGGATATCTCAGAAATTCAAAGGTGCAATGAAAATGAGCATTCTGGTAAGAATATATATATGTATAAATGTATAGATTTGTGTTTGCGTATACATACAGAAAAAAAAAAAAAAAGATGTATACACATTCATGCATATAGCCTTTGGGAAATGGAAATTTAGTTGAAAAAGAAGCACAGCGCAATACAGGTGCTGAATAAACTCCTCCATAATTGAAACATAAGGCTTGCCTGGCTGAAAGCAACACATACAGCATTTAGTATGGTAGTAAACCAAACAAGTTTTAGGGAGGTAAATGCACAAATAAACTGGAATAAAACAGAGGAGGCTTTATGCCTT